CTAGCCCAATCTCTGGATCTCAGGCCTCATCATTCCAACCTAAAAACAATAATTCTAATCCCTTCGAATCTCAAATAGCAGAAATTGATTCAATGCTAGCTAGCTTCTAAAAAACTGCTATATTCTAAATCATGTCTTAGCTCTTTCGATAAAATAAATATATGAAGGCGTTTTTATTTTTTAGGTCAGATAAAGAAGTAGAACAGGTGCTCAAAGCAATGGCAATCTAGCTATCTTCGGCAAACCTTCACAATTTATTTTTTTTATCTAGTGGAGAAATCAGCTAAGATACGTGCGAGTGAAAATTTAGTAAATGAAATAAAAACGTCTTAGTCAGATAAAACAATACATTTGATATATAATGCATTCATACAACTCGCTCAATATTCAAGATATTTTTGAGGAATGGACAAAAAATAGTTATACCCAATACATGTTAACTGAATATGGTTTAAACTATATCAATAATCTAAAAACACCAGAAGCTTGGTTACGATTTGCGAAGTATCGTCCACCCAAATATATATGTGAACGTTTATTAATTCCTGGATATGAAATTAATAGTAAGAATCATTGGGAAAACTTCGTATTCCGTATCAAAAATAATTTGACCAGCCATAAGCAAATAGGTAATGATCCTAAATATAGAGATTTTAAAGTTCAACTAGCATACTTCCCAACTTTGACTAAAAAAAATCAATCAGCAACTATGGAAGATGCACAAGATCAGTATTATGACACAATGTCACTTTGGGGGGTTTGACTCTTTGAGTCGCCCCTATAGGGCCTGCGAAGCAATGATCCAAAGGGCCTAGAGGCGTGGCCTCCTCACTTCGTGAGTCAAAATACCAATAAACTTGAAAATTTCCAGCAAAGATCGAGTGATCCTCTCATACTAAATAATTAATGAATGAACGGATTGCCAAATCTGAAATTGGTTTTTATAATATATGCAAATTAAATTTTTTAGTCGCGAAAGTGAAAATATATAAAAATAAGCAAAGTATATGATTAATTGCAAATACTTATCTGACTATAGCCCTTAATAACATATACTTCGACAGTCTAGATCACGATCCCATTAGCAGAGCAGGAATCAGAGATTC